AGTTGCTGGCATTTCACAGTGCTAAGCTGTCACCGGGGCTGCTAGATGAGGAAAATGGAACGAATGTTCATCAGGAGAGAAAAAAAGAAGATTAGAGTTCGAATAATGGATATAAAAGCGAGTAAAGAGGAAGTAAAACCGTGAGAAAAAAACCCATATGTAGTAAGAAAGAAGAAGATGAAAAATAGAAGGCCTTTCCTGCCAAGCACAAGCGCAAATAAAAAAAGAAGATGCGTGGTACGCGTGCCGGAGATCCGCGTACATGACATAGGGAACATTTCTGGGGACCTGGGGTTATCAATTACCCAGTCCATCCCAATCATCTCCGTGTTCTGCCCCGATCCAGTGTCACCTCTTGCTCCCGTCCTTTGTCCTCTTCCTCTTTTTCCCCTTTGAAACAAGAATCCCTGTACACACGAGTACACCGAGGATGTGTGGTTGTAGAGTGGCTCATTGCGATTCGAGGCAGGATTGCAAAATGACCAGGTCGCTTTCGGCGCAGCTGTTGCACCAAAAGGCAAAACACAAAGAGAAGTGTGAGACTTATCTGTGAACCCATCCAACGATGTAAAATAAAGCTAACGAGTGGTCGTGTGCATCGCATCGGTCGTCAAATATGCAGGACTGAAGTTGTGTCCTGTCGTAGGGAACCTCTTCCCTACAAAAATGCATGCTGCTCTCCTCCCAGGCCCCCTCTACCCTTATTACATATACTCTTTTTTTCATTCTTTTTACATCAAGACACACTTGGAGCAGCATCCAGCCTCTCGCTCCTCGCCGTCCATGTCTAATGGCTTTGAGGGTCCGCCGGGCCCGGAGCTGCCGCCGCTGACGCCAGGAGAGTATCCTTGCAGCTCACGGTTGTATCTGCGGATTTCGCGGACGATGTCGTAGAATGCCTTCTCGACATTCAAGCGGGACTTGGCCGAGGTCTCGATGAATTTGCAGCCGAATGAGCGGGCCAATGCCTCTCCCTCTATGCAAGAGAAATAAAACGTCAGTATGATTCCGCGCTAGACCATGGATAAATCGATTGGCGCCAGCAACGTACCTTGCCTAGTGACCTCACGCTCACCCTCCAAATCGCACTTGTTTCCAACAACCACCATGGGGAAGCTGTCCTTGTCCTTGACTCTCAGAATCTGCTGCTGGAAAACAGTGATTTCCTCGAAGCTCTGTCGTGAAGTGATGGAGTAGACGAGTAAGAAACCCTCTCCTGTCCTCATGTACTGTTCGCGCATAGCGCTATACTCCTCCTGGCCGGCGGTATCGAGAACATCGAGCAGGGCGGTCTCATCGTCAATGTTGCACTGCTTGCGGTATGAGTCTGAAAATTCGTTAGCGATTGATAGTTTCACTTGGTGCAAGGCCTGGGAATGATGCCGCGAGCGACAAATGGATTTCTGAGGTCCAAATTGATCGCCCCCTGAGCCGAGAATCCGATAGGCCCATTATGGGCTTGAGCGACGCACCTTCAATTGTTGGATCATACTCGTCGACGAAATGGGCCTGAATCAACTGAATGGTCAGGCAAGATTTGCCGACACCACCGCCTCCGACAACGACGAGCTTGTACTCTCGTAGGAACTGTGAAGAAATCACAACATGTTAGCACACCAAGGACCGATTGGCTTGACCAGCGCTCGTGCCATTTTGCACTGCATGGTCTGCGAATTCGAGCGATAACTGTGCTTACCTTTGCTGCTGAAGCCATCGCGTCTGGTGATTTCAAATGCGAATATGTTTTAAGGATGGAAAAGGTCGACGGCAGCTCAGGCAGCTGTCAAGAGCGAGCTCCAAGGGGGAAAATTGACTCGCGCTGGGCAGGGGGGCTGGCACCAGAAGCGGGCGTACAGTACGTCGCGTACAGTACAGTAGGGCGGCTGGTTAAGGGCGGGAAAATAGAAGGTTAAATCGGCGGCCGAGAGGAGGGCGATGTCGAGGAGGCGTGAGCAAAAGAAGAAGAAAAAACAAGTCTATGAGGTAGGGAGAGAACAAGGCAATGAGGGAAAGAGTTTTGAGAGAGATGAAGATAGCAGAATCAGAGACGGGAGCTGGGGATGATAGGGGAGAGGGAGAGAATGAGAGATTGGAGTCGGCAGATTTTAGAAGGAGTGGCAGGCTGGCTGGGTCAGGTTAGGTTTGAGGTACCTCACTGGACGAGCAATAACCTCCCGGCTTCAGGTAGTTCCTGAGATGAGCGCTGCTTGTTCAGTGGCCAAGAGACAGTGGGGATTGACATGGAGGTCTGCACCAATATGCTGATGGGAGCTGATTGGAGAATCGCGGGGCAGGTGGAGCCGCTGGCAAGAGAATGACCAAAGACGGTGCTTCTCCAGAAGTATCTCGATACCTCAGGCTCGCTATTATTAGCGTGGCTGGTCCAAGTACCTCCCTAGTCCGGAGCAAGTATTATTAATGTACTAAAGGTAAGTCCGGTAGCCTGCCTAGGAAGGCAAGAGGGTATTCCGCACCTCTGCCTAGCAACTACCTGTACACCCTGGATAGGGCCATTCCCCAACCAATCCTCACAAAGATGGAAACATGGCAACGTGGGAGCAGGCTAGCTAGGCCCATTCGGTGCTCTGACGAGTGCACATGTGACATCCGGGCACATAGGATAGCCAGAGGTAGGTGAGGTATGGAGGCTTTGTGTCCTGCCGGTCCTCCCTGAAGATGGAGGAATCCCGCCCTTTGGCGGCCAAGCTGCAGGAATTGGCAGCAGGAGGGAATGCTGATTAGCTCATTTTGTTCTGATGCGGGTCTTCAGGTCAGGTACATTATACTTGCATGCTATGCCCGTTGTTAATAAGTTCGCTAACTGATTGCTAGCACGCCAGTCCTCAGTTGCGCTCAACCACAACACATGGACATGGACCGAGGATTCCACATATTTATCGCCGACTTCCTTTGTACCCAGCCATCCCCCCTGTCCGACCCCTGGTAGTGCATGAAAGTACCCGTAGGCACGGCGTGCCCCATTCGAAGCTATGACCACGAGCCATGACGGGATGGATGAACCGCTACTCTTCGAAGGATGGAGAGCACTATTATTCCTTGTACTCGGCATCCTCTGAAATCGCGCGGTTCCTCAGCCTCTTCGCGCTCTTCCATCTCGCAATGCGGCGCTGGAACCCCAGAGGATAGGACGGGCCGCGGATGGAGGCCACTATGCGGCGGCCTACAAAGTACCTATATGCAGTGCTCTACTGTGACAACCAAAGGCGCGCGCTTGTCGATGTCAAATCGACGGCCAGTCCCATCATGCGCATGGAGGTGGTGCGGTGCCTTATTTAACTTACAGTGGTACGGCCCACGCGTACCAGCAGCTTAAGGAGATACCTGGCCAGCTCGCCTCCCACCCACCTAACCTCCCTAACCTAGAAGGCACTAGTCGTGATTAGTGTTCTCTCCAGGCTCCAAGGCTCGTGGACTTCAGGGGTTGTGCAGTGATTAGACCAACCGGGTGGATTTGGAAGCCCGTGGGAGGAACTCTTCCAACGCATGGAGGCGGCAGAGCTGGTGGCCCCGTCCATTCACAAGCAGATGTGCTGCTATTCTTGTGCATCATGCATCGGGAAGAAGGCTGCGTTGCCCTTCTGCCTGGTCCGTCCCATCTTGATCTGCCCCATGCCACTCGTTCTAGCCTGTCTATGAATCATGATGCGATCTACTGGATACTTGCGGCGGGAAGGAATAAGAAGCCATCCCATCGCGCTGCAAGGAATACCGATGGAAGAACCTTGGCCAAGGGTATAGAACGTGCCTTTCAAAGGGCACTCAAACCATGTGGGCATTCGCTCCAGAGCGCGCTTCAGGCAGGCCGCTTTCCATTGCGAAGCCCTCGTACCCGTTACGATGTGCTGTATGAACTGGACTCGGGGCTAATATTCCTACGGAACATACAGGTGCCACCAACTCTGCTCAGATTACTACTAATAGCAACGCCCGCGAGTGAGTGTCCTGACATTCCTCCTGTGCTGCAACCACTCTCGTACATGGGTGGGTGTGTGAGAGGGTGTCTTGAGTACCTAGGCATCCAGAATGCCAATTGCACATGTTCGCAAACCGAAGTCCAGACTATCCTGTGCGACTATGCTCATATCATGTGAGAGAAGGATTTTTTTTCTTTCCTTTCGTATCGATATTTGTGCGCTCGTGTCTAGAAGATACGCGAAATGAGGATAGTTGAGATGAACATTGCCCAACCCCATCGAAAACGGCCAGCCAATTAAGCGGATATGAGCTTCTAGAGACTGTCAGCCTGTGATATTTCATAATATAAACGTACATGATGACCCTGCCTTTAACCCAGTAAAACGTGGGTTTCGCCCACCCCTGGCTGATCCATGTCTGAGGGCGGGACCGACACTCGCAGAGGCCATGTGGATGGCCTCGTCCTCGGTTTAAACACTGCGGTGCCATCATTTTAGTCCAGATCTACTGCTCGATGCTAATACTTGACTTAAAGTACCGTTCTCGGCACCCATGAAAATATCCTTCAAAGCATCTGGGTGCACCGGCATATGGAAAACATCCATGACTTGAACCATGTCGTTCACCGTAATAATCGAGATTTCATGCTCCACCGCATTCTCTCTTACCTTCTCTTGCATATGGCCACCGCAGATTTACGTTTGTCAAGGATTCGAGTCGCCTGATGAGTCGGAACTTGTTCTCCGTTCCCTATGCAAGGTTTTATCTGACTACTACTAATCGACAGGCCTACTAGGTTGGCGTTGATGATCTACCACGCAGTCATAGAAGGCATGGTTATCCAAACCTTTTGAGTCAAGACACTTCAGGTTTCACGGTCACCCTCAGCCGTGAACTATGGAGCAGCCAACCACCACGTTGCCCTTGCCTCTTGGCCCGCATTACCATGTGTGGGGTCATATTCAAGCTTATATTGAGAATCTATATGCTACTAAGACTCAAGCTCATCAACGACAAATACCTATGTACGCGTCCACGTCTACGTTATAGCAAGTCGTACTTTCCTATTTCACTTCTTCGGCTTCAGAATCATCCTCCCCTTCCGTCTTTACTCGTCGCCCCTTCACGCCCGCCTCGACCTCGGGAACGAGGCTCTCCAGCAGCGCCTCGTCCCTGAAAAGAAGTCCGTTAGCATTCAAGCTGATGTACCGGAAGTTTAGGGTAGAGGGAAGGGACTCTTACTTTCCGACCAGCGTCACTGTGTTGCGCGTCTTGCCCCAGCGAGGATAACTGCCTACTTTGATTCCTTGAGGTTCGACTCTTTCCGCGAGCTGCGTCAGGAATGGCGCAACAGCACTCTCTGACATTGGCGTTGATATGAGAATCCGGGTCGTTCCCTTGCCCTCTGGGTTTGCCAATCTCGGGAGCACAATAGGACTCAACCCATCGAGGAGTTTCTCAACTACGGACAAAACGTAAGACTCAGGCCACATCTCTCCCAGTGATACCCTGCTATACTTACATATGCGTGGTACTCCCGGTAGAATGTGAATGTTACCATTCACAACAGCGACAGGAACCCAGGCTTCTTCATCGGAGAAGATCACCTGTTGTTTGAGATCCCGGGTGTCGTCTGTTGGCAGCTCTACCATACGCAACTTAGCCTTCAAGGCAGGTGAGTCGACGTCCCAGTCAAAATTAGGTTGCGAGGGGTGGGCTTTAGACATCCGTCTCATCTTATCGAACGCTTCAGCGTGTAACTTCAGCGGGAGGCCGAATGCCTTGGCGATGGACTGGTAGGTGATGTCATCGTGCCTGTCAAAACGATCAACATGTCATGAGCGCGATGAGAGAGATGCAGATCAATCTCACGTTGGTCCAATTCCTCCACTGTGCGTACCCTGGTTAACTTCGTGTCATTCGATACAAAGCAGTGGATGGCGGGAGTGCAAAGTACCTGGTCACCACAAAGTCGTATCGCTCACTCATCCTGCGAGCTGCCTCAATGATCTCGCTCTCATCATCTTCAATCACCTCGACCCGTTTCAGATTCTTCGGAAAGGGTTACATTAGCCACCTGAATGCTGGCTGACCAGCCCCTGGCGTCGTAGAGACTTACAATCCCTAGCTTAAAACACCACTTCGCAAAGTAGGCGGAGTTGGTCTAAAGCCCATTGGCATTCGTCAGTCGATAGTACAACATGAGGTATCCTGGCGCCAAATGATGCACCGACGGGGCTCTCACATCAACGGTCTGCGTTCCTTGTTCAGTCAATTGGTTCCCAAACACGGCTGGGGCTGGCGGGTGTGGCGTACCTTTCCGCCGAGGACTTCGTCACCAATAATCAGACATGCTGCCGTGCGAATTGTGCGCGCCTGGCGCTCTCCCGCAGAAGCCACCATCTTTAATGCCGACGGTCGGTACAAGGAGGGGGCTGGTGACAGGTGGTGGGCTACTTGAGACAGACGGCGGAACATGTGAGCTCTGTAAGCATGCGATATGCAGGCCAGGGCTTTCGGCGAATGGAGGGTCGATCCTCAAGGAGACAGTGCGGAGTCGAGCCGGAACGTCGCAGAGAGCGCAATACCTGACTTATATAAGGTGCTATTTCCAAGACACACCATGCACGTAATAGACAGCACTTAGTGTTGTTCTGGGCCGAAGTCGCCATGCCGGGTGACGCCAAGGAGGTAGCTTAGCTTATCCGTAGGTAACGGCACCACAAGATCCTGCGGGTAATGAATGCATCTTGATGCCCGGAAGCTGTAATGGCTGGTGATCATAACGATATTCCTCGCTGTAATATCATTGGATCGAGTAAATACAATGCTTGTAGGTTGCACGCTCAATTGGTAGGTTACCACCTTGATATCGATTAGGTGCTAGGTTAGTACTTGCTTATCGGTGTCGCTGCTACGGGAGTCGAAGTACCGTGCAATCGCGGGGCTCGACCAACTTGCGTCAGGCAAGCAGCGACCAACTCCCCACATCACCATCACTCATCTCCTTACCAGCGCCTACTTCTCTGGTGGTACAGATCCCATTCCAACCCGATCCAAACAAGCTAGAAAGTCCGTCCTTCTAGTTTCCCATAAACATGGTATGTTGGGCAGTGCCCTACCCGAGAAACTTCATTCTCTCCAAATTGCTAACCCGTGTTGTGCTTCAAAGGCTTCCGAATCCCGACTATACACATTCTCCGACGAGACCAAGGAGCATCTTCGCAAATTCCGACTGACAACCTCTCGAGCAAAAGGCCCGCAAGCGGTAATCTGTATGTCGACTTCACCATCCGAATCTCCGAGCCGATCCGCCTCTCAGACTCTGGCGTGACATTCTGGCTAATGCCGCCATTTATTTAGATCTCATTGACAAGAACACACATGAGATTCGCAAAGAAGATTCCACAGTCTATACCTCCCTCGAAGAGATCGCCGACGAACTCCCCGATAACTCGCCACGATATGTTCTATTAAGTTATCCTCTGACAATGGTACGAAGCTCGACACCCCACTCATCGAATACAATTCTAACATGCGTACCCTGTTCTTAGCCGGATGGTCGTTTGTCCGTGCCATACGTTCTACTATACTATCTCCCCGACACTTGTAACTCTGAGATGCGAATGCTCTATGCTAGTGCAAAGGAGTTGGTGCGCAATACCAGCCAAGTGGGTAGAGTAATTGATATCGAAAGTACGGACGACCTTGACGAAATTCCAGAGAAGCTCAAATCGCAATAAGTATGACGCTCTCCAAAAATATATGGGTACATATATAAACGAGCGAGTCTTTCCAATAAAAGTAGTGCTTCGAAGTTGATAGAAATGTTCCTTTGAGATTAGTTCGTTGTTTGTATTGATTTCCTTTCGGTTTTCTATTCTGGTAAGATGGATTTAGTATCAACTCCTATTTGTGCCGCCACCCCCCGTACTACCTGTCTAAACGCTGCGCAAGCTGGGCTGTCAGGGAACGAGTCGAAATAGCTCTCACCGTAATCACACGCCATCCCAATTCTTGGGTCAAGAGGCACGGCTCCCAGGAAAGGAATACCCATCTCATCTGCGAGGGCTTTGCCACCGCCTGTGCTTGGTCTAAATATTTGACTCTCCCCCTTGCACTTGGGACAGACAAAGCCGCTCATGTTCTCTGCCAGTCCCAGAATCTTGATACCTGCCTTTTTGCAGAAATCAAGTTCCTTTCGCACATCCAGAAGGGAGACTTCCTGTGGTGTTGTGACTACCACTGCCCCATCGATGCCGCTTTCCTTCAGGAAAGAGTTGACGCTGAGATGCTCGTCGCTCGTACCCGGCGGAGTATCTACCAGCAGGAAATCCAGATCCCCCCATTCCACATCCTTCAAGAACTGCTTGATCAGCCCGTTCTTCTTGGGTCCTCTCCAGATAACAGCGTCGTCTCTGTTTGGTAACATGAACTGGATGCTCATCACACCCAGGTTATCCATCACCCAGACTGGTGACCAGCCGGAGCCGCTCACGTGTATCGTCTCGTCCTCCACGCCCATCATTTTAGGTATGCTGGGTCCGCAAATATCGGTGTCCATGATTCCCACCATGCTGTCCGGGTTGGTCGCAAATGCATGAGCGAGCAGCGTTGTGAAGGTGCTCTTCCCCACGCCACCCTTGCCGCTCAGGACCAGGATCTTGTGCTTGACGTTCTCCAGCCGCGCTGAGATGAGAGGGATATCCGGGTCGGGGCCCTTGGGCGCTGAGGCGCAAACGGCCTGGTTGGGGCATCCTGCGCATGAGTCTGCTTTCCCGGCTTGTTGAGACTCTGGGCCGGGGCAGTGTTCCGGTTCCGGCGCCACGAGCTGGGGCTTCTGTTTCATTGGGTTCGCCAGGACATTTTCTACTGGCTCTGGGTCCTCGAGTGAGGGTGCCATGCTGCAAATATTTAATCCAGTTCAAATGAGTGGTGTAATGCGCTTTGTTGGATATATTTGGGGAAGTAAAATGATTGGGATGAGGTGCAAGGTGAGGTGCGATATGAGAGTGGCGAGACTCAGCGATTCAGTCAAGCTTAATAATGCAAGAAACTACGGGAGTTTAATCTGCCTAGACTGGTACGTTCTAGCATATGTACCTACCGGCTGGCGAATGAGATCAGGCTAATGTAATAAAGATATAGATCAAGTTTTAGCTGTGTAGACTTATCAATGAAAGTCTTAGATAATAATCTAATGCAAGAGGGTGTCTGTAACTAATCCTCACTGCCTCTTGTATGATGAATTCGCCCTTTCCCCACCCTTCTTCAGCTTGGTTAGCTACCAGGTGACATTGAAACCGATACACCAAAGACCTAGTTCTACTTAACTCTAGGGGTTATGGGAAGTACTCTTCCGTTGCGAGTTAATTAAAAATGGATAAATAAAAATTAGAGCCCGCATAATTATTTTTCTTAGCTTTTATGTTGCTTTATTCTTGTTCTTGTATATAGCGCTCAGCTCGCAGTTGCTCGTCAATTTGGTATCTCATCTCATTTATTTTGTCACCCGGCCAGTAGCATCTATATCGGAAGTCGGAGCGGCGCAATCGTAAACCACCCATCAACCCACAATGACTAACGAAGAAACGGCGTCTGCATTCGGTTGACGGTTTTGAGAGACTAATTATGTGCAAACCGTTCATATGTTTAGGTAAACTCATGTTAGCGAACGGATTCGGGTCGGACATAGGATCGTATGAACGAGCAACCAGGTCGTGAGCAACTGTAGTCTTGTTCCTGTTGTTAACCAGGGATTTCATCACAAAATGAAGACCATACAATACTGAAGGTCGAAAGGAGATATTGTTTTATCACTGGATCAAACATAGGACGATATCACGAGAGAGATGGCCATACCGTCTGCCGGCGACAACGGGGAATGTATCTGTAGGGTAGTCTGGTTGAATGGGATAGAAAAAAATCCTTATCGCCAATCACCCCACCCCCACCTGTATTTTTCTTATTTGAGGCAGCGATAAGATCAGGGCTGGCTTTGCGATGAGCCGATCTACTCACGAATAAACAAGTTTATAAGAAATGGCCGTCACAACTGATACCAACGCGAAAGAGACCGTCGCCGCACTGCGAGAGAGTCTCTGCTCCGAGGCCACTCCTCTGCCCCTGCGTTTCCGTGCCCTATTTTCCCTCAAACATGTTGCACAAACTTCAAATAACCCCGCCACAGCTGTAGCGGCCATCGAGGCGATCGCCGCCGGCTTCAGCTCCCCCTCCGCGCTTTTGAAACACGAATTAGCTTACTGTCTTGGGCAGACTGCCAATGTCGCCTCTGTCAAGCCGCTGCGCACAGTTCTGGCCGACTTGAAGGAGGATCCAATGTGCAGACACGAGGCGGCGGAGGCTCTCGGTGCTCTGGGTTGGGCTGATAATTTGGACATTCTCAAGGAGTACCGTGACCGCGCCGGAGAGGATATTTCCATCATTGAAACATGCGAGATTGCTATTGATCGCATTGAATGGGAGAACTCCAAGGCGAGACAGGAAGAGAAGTTGCGATCGAGGCAAGTGTGAATTCTAGCTCATGCTCGGGATTACTCAGTTATGCTAACTAACACCAGCGACTTTGCCTCTGTCGACCCGGCCCCCCCGATGCCAGAGTCTGGGAAATCGGTCGAGGACCTTGGCCAGGACCTGATGAACACGAAGCTACCACTCTTCCTCCGCTACCGAGCCATGTTTGCTTTGCGCGACCTCGCCTCCCCACCCGACCTGCCCACCGCTGTCCCTGCTGTCCTCGCCTTGGCAAAGGGCTTCGAGGATAGCTCTGCCCTTTTCCGCCACGAGATTGCATTTGTTTTCGGCCAGCTGTCCCACCCTGCTTCAATTCCAGCTCTCACGGCTGCTTTGAGCAATGTCGACGAGGCAAGCATGGTACGACACGAGGCTGCGGAGGCGCTAGGTAGTCTGGGCGAGGAGGAAGGTGTCGAGGAGACATTGAAGAAGTTCCTTAAGGACAAGGAGCGAGTCGTCGTGGAGAGTGTCATTGTGGCGCTCGACATGGCAGAGTACGAGAAAAGCACGGATACCGAGTATGCGCTGATTCCCGAGGTTGGAAGCGCTTCGGCATGAATATAAAAAGGCATCATTTTATTCAGCGTAGATTGGTAGATCGATTACGGTCGGAACGGAAAAAAGCATGTTTTGATTTTAGTTATTCTCGTGCCATCTGCTCGTTTGTTAGTGCTGCTCAACACATAAAGCGAACTATGAATGATCATCACGTACGAATTACCGCATTTACATAGGTAAATGACAGTAGATCCTTCATCAGCACCACGTAGCTGAACGTTGGTGTATGTGACCTCTTCTCGACCGCATTTCGGGCACTTCTCGTGGACAACGCTGTCGGTCTGAATCTCATGTCGCACCACGTTTTGGACGCTTGACTGTAACTTTTGACGGAGGAATGATGGGAAATCAGCGGGCTTGCTGCTCGTTACAATCTTCTTCGAACC